CACCATCAACTGATCCCCTTACTCAAATGCTTCTAGCTGGCCCACTTTTAGGTCTTTACTTGGGTGGAGCATGGATGGTTAAGCTTTCTGGGCGATAAGCGATTAAGCCTCTGTTCTTTGCATCAATATACCAAGTAGTATAATATGATCATGCATACAGCATAGGGATCCAAGATTCATGTAGCATATAAAGGACATCTGAGTAGAGGATATATGATCTGTTTTTTGAATCATTTGCTATTGTCACTGTTCAATGTGTATAATTAGGAGGTTAGCTGACACTCCATTCCCAAAGTCATTATGTTGGATCTCTTCACTAATATATGAAAGAAAATAGTCATGAGTATGCATTATATTTTCTTTCTGGCCTCAGATATGAAGTTAAAAAAAGTAAAAACATTTCAGAGACCAAAAAATAAAAAAGAATTTGTATAATGTAACTATTCTTTTAAATACAATGAATGAACATTTCTGTGAAATTCAGTTGTGACATCAGACCTCTATAAAGCAGTGTCGTTGGCAAAATTATTACAAAAAACATGTAAAATCACATCACAAGAAAAATTGTCAATGAAGAAAAAATGGCCATTACAGCCAAATATTGCTATATATAGATGATTGTTATAGAAATATTTGCACAGTATTACTCCAATATGCAGCTGGTTTGACAACACACTATATTCATTTGATGGCATAAGGTCACAAAAAAGAACAATAACATATCCAAATAAATGTAAGAACTTTCAATTCGATGCCCATAGCTACAATCAAAGAAGCTCATTCAAAAGCATATTTTTCCTCCCTTAACCTTTCCCCTTTACTATAATTACGCGATCGCGAGGTTTTCTATCTTGGGCATTGTATCAGTTGCATCTGAGTGATCTAATTCTGCTTCCAGTTGTTTCAATGAGCTCCGCAAACCATTGCATGTTTTAACAAAATCTTCAGAACATCCTTTAAGTTTTTCCAGCTCCACCAATATTTCATCAGTAGCACATGATATCTTCTCTATAGCAGTCTTCAATGAAGAAATTTCTTGTGGAGGATACAGAGAAGCTCCAAGTTCATCAATTTGCAGTCCGATTTCTTGAGAAAGTTTCAGCAGTGTCTCTAGAGAGGGTACAAAAGTAGCAGTATCCGCAGTACTTTCCTGCTTAAGCAAGCTTGTAATGGAGCGAATAAGTTCTTTAATGACCACAAGTGTTGCAGACACCACGTCAGTAGTCAAACGAGCAATTTCCATTTCCTCCGCAGAAAGATCATTGCCTAGATCACCTGCAAATGAATCATCACTATCCTGATCTCCTTCAGCAGAATCTTGAACAGAAGATTCATCTCCAACATCAGATGACGCTGGCTTCAGTTCATTCATTTCACGAAGTACATCCTTCATGGAAACAGCAAGTTGTGTCATTGCTCGACCTATAGCAGTAATATTTGTGGCTGGAGTCTTCTTAAGAGCAGAACAAGCTTCCCAGACAGTGCCCACCAACTGCGGGATTGATAATTTCTGAGTTTTGTTGTTAGATCCTGCACAACCATTTTGGGCAGCAAACATAGTTGGTCCATATCACTATTAAAAGAAAATCAATACACGAGGAGTAGATGCAGCAGATACGAGTGATGAATGAAACTGAAAAGCAATATGCCACAACTAGAAGCAGAACAAAAGTGAGATGAATGACTTTTTACACCCAAGCAAATGGAGCTATCTACCATTAACTGATTTCTTCTGCCTCCATTTTTTTTTTGTGGGATAGATGGTTCAACATGTACTGTATATGCGCTTTTGAGATTTTGATGAAAGCACATCAGCCAAACATGGACACTAATTTGGATGTTCAACTGTTAGGTAACTGCCACTAGCTTTGGGGTAATAAGCTCTTTGGCTGAACTCAAATAATTTGTCTCATAATTTTCAACATGCTATCCAAGTAAGGCAAGACCATTATGACTTCATTTAGAAATTACCAAAAAAATTTAAAAATAACACAAGCAGTAACTAATAGGTCTAGTAGCTCAGTCATTAGGTAAAACTAGCTAAGTCCTGTCTTTGATGCTCTTTCTATTTTCTTTATGAAACTATAACATATGATAGAAAAGAGGGATTACACTGGTGAATCCCCATATACTAAAAAGGATTGAAGTGGGTAAACGCTGATGTGTGAAAGATGCATAACTTGAGAAAAGATAAACACTATATGTAAAACAATATGATGACCTTTTTCCATTTCGGATACACTATACTTCCTAGCATTTTGTATATGTAAGCTTTTCATATGTTCATGGACTTGGGCTGAGCAGAGAATACATACAGATAGATAGATACATACCATATGAAGACACGGACTCTTTCATTAACATGAAACTGCTATCAACAACTTGTTTAATGGATGCATGAATGCAGGAACACAGGGTAGGTCCTCCGCCAACTGTACTTGAGTGGGAAAGCAAAAGGAGCCCTTGCAGCATATTAAAATATGAAGCCATGTTCTCCTCCAGTGCTTTAACCTCTGGAGCTTCTCCAGTCCAAAGCATTCCAACTGCACCAGAATGAAAAGAAACTGTCAATTACCAACACTATCTGGTAGGTGAACGCCTGAGACTTACAAAGTACGACTGCTCAGTTAGTCAGCAATTGGAACCCTCCCTTGATCCTCCCGAAAAATCAAAAGAAAAACAAAGGAAAGAACAGAAGGCAAGGACACACAAAGCCGTTTCTACGCTCAACCTTTTCACTAGTATAACAAGTATTATTTCACGCTCAACCTTTTCACTAGTATAACAAGTATATTTCTAAACATTCAGAAGAAATGAATCAGCTCCTTCTGTTTGTATTTTGCAATGGACCTCTAGATATTAATACTTGGAATTGCATATACATATACATAGTCGAAGATCAAAAAACACTATAACGATCTCAGTTTTCAATGCAAAATATATGCTCGGACTGCTTTCTTCTTTTTAAACAAATGACGATGCAATTTGCCCTTGATCTCTAAAAGTTTTAACATCTTTAGGCTTCCTTCTGTAGTGATAATCTCTTCTGTCTCCCTTCTTATTTAAAAAAAAAGGTAATATATGTATTCATTAGCTGATATCAATATTTACATTAAAAAAAGGCCTCGTTCATCTCACAAGGATTCAAAAACTTCAAATAAGTTTTGAAAGGTAATATATGTAATCATCAGCTGATTTAAATATTTACACTTTTGCGTAATTAAAGAAGGCCTCATTCATCTTCTTTTAGGATAGGTTTCTGATAATCAAATCTATATTTACTTCCTCTTTTATGGATAGTCTCTACTAGCTTACCTACAACATATAAGTACTTATACCTCACCATCAAACATATATAGACAATATTAAATTGACGATGACTGAAATAAATTCTCTAATGTGGAAACAGATACTGTTAATGCCTAAAACTGTCAACAAAGACATCAATAGTACAAAGATGCCATAGATAATGTATCCCCTCCGTCCCAAATTATTCATCATGTTTTGCTTCACGAAAGTCACACTATTTAAACTTTAACCCACATTTTAAAAAATGATTTTTTCATCAAAATTAACACGAGAAAAGTTGCAACATCTAATTGTAAGAAATCAAGTTAATCTAATCCAATTTAGCTTCAAATATCAGTCGAGTTAACTCCCGAATAAAACATGACAAATAAATTTGGGGCAAAGGGGTATAAAAATTGGAACTTTTGAAAAGTAAAACTACATAAGAGAAAAAAGAAATTGACCCATAGTGGCTTGTTTATAAAGCTGTTCACCCATCTGAATAACCTCTTTCCAGCTGACTTTTTCAAGAGATGAAGATGGTGTTTGACACAATGCCTGCAAAAACAAAAGAAAAACTCAATTTTCATAAATCAAATCATACAAATATAATAGAAAACTGCAAAAATAATAATTAAAACCTAAAAAAAAAAAATTAAAAAAAATACTAAACCTCAAGAGTTTCATAAATGGTGTTTAGATGCTCACTCAGAGCTCTATTCAATTGCTCCTTCGCTGCTTTTCCCATTATTTTCTCTCTTTCTAAAACCCTTCACTCTTTTGACAGACAGAATAGTGGAGAAGATGAAGAGGGTTGGGGTTTTTGAAGTACAACATATAAACGGCGTCGTTTTTGTTAGTTTCTATAGGAAGCCTAGTTTTATTTTGGGAAAAGAGACGGGTTTACACTCAAACTATCGTAAATGGCAGACACATATCCTCCATCATACTTTCGACATTGGTGCTCTTGTCATCCAAAAACTAGAGCATATATGTCCTTCATTCTCACGAAAAACTAAATAGGGACACGTGACACAATCTTATCTGTCGATCCAATATTTAATAAATGTTGATTGGTGGATAAGATTATGACACATATATGTCCGTTAGTATAAAGGATATATATGCTATAAATTTTGAACGGAAGGGGCACCAATGTCCCAAAGACGATAATTTGCGATAGTTCAAGGGTATATTTGTCATTTTCCTTTTTTTTTTTTCTGAAATGAATCTGAAATGGATGGGGCGGATATGGGTGGTTTTTTAAATTTTGGGTTTAAATAATTAGTTAAATCGGATCCCTCCGTAGGATTACACTACGTGTTCTTATTTGGTTTTCGTTAGAGTGAAAAATATATATGCTCCTATTTTTGGATGATAGAATCACCAATGTTTCAAAAATATGACGAAAAATATTACATATCATTTACGATACTTCAGAAAGTTTTATTGAAAATAGTTGTCAACTTTAATTTAGTCTTGAGTTTCTCAAAGAAATAATTGTTTTAGGATAACTTTTGAGTTAAAGTAACTATTAATTTGAAACGAGATCAGACTAATATCACTTGACATCATTATAATTGTTCACAAAATTCATCAATAGGAATGTATTTTTGTACACGAACCTTTGAACGACATAGAGATTATTTCCGATAGAATCCCAAGCTCAAATGAAATCGAACTAACGCAGGATAGAAGAAATAAAAACGAGATAACAAAATAGCAACGCTCAAAACAAATGTAGCAACATATATTAATACAAATTGGAAACAAGAAATACATAGTACCTAAATCGTACAACTAGAAGTACAATAACCTTCGATATCTACTAACCTTTTACTGTGATCGTCGACCTCAACAATACGTGTAGCACATATATGGTACCTAAAGCGTACAACTAGAAGTACAATAACCCTCAACTACCTACTAACCTTTTATTGTAATCCTCGACCTCAACAATAAGTGTAGCACATATCTCGAGGTCATCTCAATGGTTGTCGTGGCTCCGCTAACAACTCGGAAATGACACTTGGCCTCTTGTTATTCAGGTTTCACGGAGCAAAGATGCCTCAATAAACCAATTAACATTACTCGAGTATTTCGAAGAGAATTTTCTGCATTTTTTTACGATAGTACGTTATCTACTGATGATTTTTCATCAGCATGAAGCCTCTCCCTTGCCATTGCAGCTTGTTTTTCCCAGTTTGTGCAGCATGTTATCACAGAAAGTAGAATAGTTTGCAGAGCTGCACCAGAAAGTATGCCCATCCACAGGCCTTTTCCTCGAAAGTTGAGCCAAAACGCTAATGAAGCAGCGATAGGAATGCCACAAAGGTAAAATGAAGCAAGATTCACATAGGCTCCGATATGCTGCCAACCACATCCCCTCGCGACACCTACAATGTGCATAATGCCACAATTAGTCATACGTTCGTTCTTGTCATATATCTGTCAGTGGCAGAGTCAACAATTTATATATACGCATGTTAGAAAAGAATTCACCAATATACATAGTACAATTTTCCAGTAAAGGATTCAGATGAACCCCCCAAGTAAATGAGGCTTCGCCAAAGGTATTTGTTGTAGTAAATTGGCGTGAAAGAGTCTTAACCTCTATATGTTAGTATAATTTTCTGGCAAAGGATACTCAGTTGACCCTCCTTTGGTAAATGTGTCTGTTACCTTTTCTTGTAGTATCTTACTGTGTCCAATTTATGAGATATTTTTCGTTTTTTCAAGATTCAAACTACGTTAACTTTGATGATTACTTTAAAGGGTATTTTTTAATCATATTGACATGAGAGGAATTGCACTTATAGTACTTTAGTATAGTCTTTGAATATCCAAATTTTAATTTTAAGAGTTGATCTAATTTAATGTTAGCTTCAAAGATGAGTCAAACCGAATCTCGTAAAACAAAAAATACCACACAAATTGGGACACAGGGAGTATAGTTTACCGGCAAAAGGAGGCTCGGTTGAAAACGTGGTTCACCACTAGTAGTAGTTACATATTCTTGTAGTAACTTGATGTAAAGAAAGTCTAACCTGAAAGGGTTCCTTGAAGACTGTCAGTAATGACTGATAGACATAGAAGAGGAGCCATCTTTGCTACATAGTCCACGACTTCCTTCTCGTTGCTGAAAATGTAGCCAAATACGTTCCGACTAGCAAATACAGCTGCGCTAACTAGTATCGTCTCTGTGGCTGCAAGGAGCATTACAGAAATCACAGATACACGAGCTCCTAGAGGATTTCCAGCTCCTAATTGATTAGAAACTCGAGTGCTGAAAGTAAACAGGAGTTCAATAACCACATATTTCAAGAAAAAAAACTACGTGGAAACGGAAGGTTCTATTAGATATTCAAACATACCTTACAGCGCCAGAGAGACCAAATGGAATTGCATAAAGCGTAGAAATAGTATTCAGGCTGCACCATGGAATGTCACAAGAAATTAGCAATTTTAGACCTTATAGATAATATGACTAATTGAATCAATCATTAACGAGCGAGATCTATGTTTGCTAGGACTTTTCAAAAATATTGTCGGATGTGTGTCAGATCCTCCAAAAGCAGTGTATTTTTGGAGGATTGAACACGGGCGAGGCAACATTTTGGAGAGTCTAAGTAACATAGAACGAGATTCTGAACATACCATATAGATAGTACTGAAGTTTCAAGTTGGGGATTCGGCAATAGTCCAGATAGTAAGATGAGCAGCTCAAATGACCACCATTCAAGACTGGTAAATACAAAACGTAGCATGAGTTTTGTAGAATGACATGTAAAGGGAAAGTGTATTAAATTATTAAAAGAGGCAGAGCGAGGTCGTTGAAGTACCAAATCATGACAGCAGAAGGTATAGCAAACTGAAAGAACTCTCTCATTCCGTTGACGACCTCCCATGACACTGGTGCACGGGTTTTTGCACAAGCAGGAGACAACTTCATGTATGAAGCAAGGATTATGACATTCAACCACATCGATAAACCAAAAGCCACTGCTGCACCAATATTACCTAAACCAGAGCTAAACACTAGCACCCAAGACAGCGGTATGTGGAAGCATATGGTAATGCAAGAGCTTATGAGCATTGGAACAATCATACTTTGCATTAGAAAGTACCGAATAAGTGGTTGAAGATTTGCGTAAGCAAAGAGAGCAGGAATCATCCACTTAATGAACTTGCCGGCTTCATGAGAAATCTGAGGATCTTGCCCTATGAAAGTAAGCAATTTCCCCACATATAGCCATAAAACTGCAATGGGAATGCAAACAATGAAGAGAGACAAAATGGCTGTGTATGTTTGAGTACCAAGTCTTTGATATTGTTTCGCTCCGAAAGCCTGTCCACAAAGAGTTTCTAGTGCAGTGCCCATTCCCAGCTACACGACACATTCAGATTTTAGTCGGTGGAGAGGCACAAAAAAAGGGTAAAAATCAATACTTGTTACTAGACAATTTGTTCATTTATAAGCAATGCTTTGCTAATCACACAAGAGTTTATAACTTATAACTGTGCCCTCTAATAAGTTGAAAATGACAAAAAAAATCTGCTCTTTAACTCTAAATTAGAACACATTCTCTTTATTCTATCTGTTTCCCCTTAATATTTACAAGCTATGTTGCTCGGCTCTTCAAAAATACTGCTAAGTGTGTCAGATCCTTTAAAAAGGACAGTGACTTTCTTTTCAAAACAAACTAAAAAGGATAGTAAAACAAACAAATTGAAACGGACAGATTAGCAAGTCCCCGAAAATCGTAAACATAACATATTACAAGTTAACATATAGAAGAGAGAGTTCACCTAAAATATGTATACAAGTAAAACTGAGCTTAACTTATATATATCGACATCCATAGAGTAGTAAGGCGCGCTACCTGTTATAAAAGTAAATTAAAGGTGAACCAATAGTAAGCATATGTAAGTTAAAACCTTATGTAACTCTTCATGTTAAGCCTACTATAATTACCTAAAAAAATAGAGTGAACCTACTATAACCAACTAACCTGCCTATACTGAAACATCTTAAAAGTAAGGACTCTGCGCTATATATGTTAAACTCTATGTAACTCTTCATGTAAAGCCTACTATGGTTACTGAAAAATAGAGTCAGAACCTACTATAATTGGTGCAACTAAACTAACGACGTAAATTCAAATCCAAGAAATAACACTCCCTACATTCCAATACATGTTGCACCGTCTGATCGGTAAGACTTTTGAAACTTGTGATCTAAAACAAACCTTACACATTTGTGTAACTATAAAGAGTGGTAAAGATAAAGATATGACACATGTACCTAACACAACTCCAAAAGATAACTCGTGAAGAAGTATATAAGTAAACCATCAATCAACTATCCAACTACTCTAACAACTTCTTCACACCCAAGCCCAACTGAGGTGTAGACCGGGAGCCCAAATAGGAATGAACCTAGTTCCAACACATGAACCTCAAAAGCTAAGGGTGTATGTCCATTTTCTAATCGATGTGGAACTCTAAACCACTCTAACAAGAGATAAGTTTATTTCTAATAACAAAAAACTCACATTCTTTTCAAATGAACTAAAAAGGGAAGTGTGTAATGTAAATTAAGATAATAAATATGTACTCACAAGTAAGCTGAGACCAGTGACTCCAGCAATAGAAATAGCAATAGAAGTACTTGAGAGGGCAAGTTCACCCAAATGACCAACCATCATCAATGATATTGTTTGCAAAAAATACTGTGAAAGTGTCACAATTATCATAGGACCAGCCAAATAACCAATTTCCTTCACTTCCTCCCAAATTACTCCCCATTTAACTAACTCCCTTTCTTTCAATAACAATCCTTCTTCTACACTCTCCATATTTTTATTTTTTTTATTTTACAAGTCTTTGAACTTGTAAAAAAAAAAAGAACTTTTTGAGAAAACCTTGTAAAAATTTAAAAAAAGATTCTTGAACTTTCAAAAAAGACACCTTTTTGTAAATACCTTGTAAGAACTCAAGATTTCTTTACAAGATTTATAAGGGGAGAACAAGGCCACCCCTTTTGAATATACTATGTAAAAGGGATCTTAAATTAATAAAAAAGAACTCCCTTTTTGAAAAAGATTGTATTTTTATGAGAGATTGAGACAAAGATACCTCTTATGAGAAAACCTGAGTATAAAAATCTTGTTTTTTGAAACCCCCAAAAAAAAAAAAGGAAAAAAGTGTAGCCAGGGAAAGTTTTGAGAAATTTGTTATACCATAATGTCTAATGGTTTGTTTCAAGAGGTGTTTGTTTGTCTTTTGTTGACTACTTCTTGGATTGTACTTTGGTTTAGTTTTTATTTTTATTTTTATTTTTTTAAAAAAAGATTGTATTTTAGTTTAGATTTTATTTTTTATTTTTTTTTTAAAAAAATTGTACTTTGGTTGACTAAAGTGTTAAACTAGTCTCTCTTTCCTTGCTTTCCAAGAAGAGAGGTATTAGTCATTAGCTCCATTTTTAGTTGTAGTGGTTGCTTGTGTTAAGTTTTATTTGACCTAAATTTCTTATCATAAATAGGTTTTTCTTTTAGGAAAAAGTTTTGGATTGACTAATCTTTTTTTTTGGTAGGAAAAGATTTAGGACTCTATAAATAGATGTATGTTCCTTCTAACTTAATCAGCATTCACAATGTAGTCTTAAGGGCTTTGAGAGTTTTGGTTAGAGGGAGAATTTGTGGGTCACATGCTTGATACGTTATCACTTGTGTGAACCTCCCAAGTATTCTGAGTGAATTGGTTGAGGTTGTTTCCCTCTGTATTTTGTACTCTCATATTTATAGTGAATTGCTCATCTCCTTTGTGGACGTAGGTCGAATGACCGAATCACGTTAAATTTTTGTGTCTTTTGGTATATTTCTCGTTGTCTTCTTACTCGTGATTTTTCCAGGTTTGCTTTGCTAGCTTCCGCATTTACACCTGCTTATTTCCGGTCCTAACAGCTTGACACCTTGTTTGGATGGTTGTTGATTGTTATCTAGAAGTATCATATTGTTAGTTTAAATATAATGTTTGTTGTGAGTGTTACTTAAATTTTATTATATCGTATCGTTTGATTATATAGATAGTAACAATGAAGAGTCTCATTTTATGTAATGATTGATTTGATGTAATCACATAGTTATTTTAATAGTTTCTTTTTAATATGTCCTTGTACTATTAAATAATCACATTTTATCATTTATTTTACCTTTTCATAATAGCTCTAGTTTGTAGCTTATTTTTCTTGTAGATGTGTCATTTTAATTGTTAATGTGGATATTAGTGGCGATAGAACGTGATATAATCTATCTAATGTTATATACATTAAAACTATAAAATACGATATATTATGAAATAATTTGTTAATATAAGCTTAATGCGATCTTTTTCGTGAATTAATCTCTTTTCATATTTATTGAATAAGGTAAAAATTGAAATAGATAATTAATTATATTTTAATCTTTTAAAATAACAATTCTATAAACACTATAACAAATGTAATTTACTTTTTTAATTAAAGGGTTACTATTTCAAGAATAATTAGGAGTTATTTGGTCATCTAACTAACTCACCTTTTTAGCCTAATTATCAATTTCTTATCTAATTTAGCACAAGTGGTATAAAATCAGAAATCAATCTTGAATTTCTTAAACAATAATTATTTTGAAATAACTTCATAAATTAAGTAAACTCATCAATATGAGTAGGAGGGCATACCTTTTTAGGAAAGATACCGAAAACAAAAACAAATTTTAGCGGCATAAGTCTTAACTAAGGGCCCGTTTGGATGGGCTTAATAAAAGCAGCTTTAAAAAAGTACTTTTGAAAGTGCTGAAACTTATTTTTAAAATAAGCAGTTATACGTTTGGATAAAAGTGCTGAAGTTGTTATGCCAAACGTGAAAAGGTAAAAATAGAAGAAAGAAATGTTAGGATTATATGGGTAATTTGGAGATTGTATAAAAATATTAAGGAAAAAACATAAAAACGTGGTCAACTTAAAACAGCTTATAAGCTAAAAAAAAAAAAGCACCCCTACCCCAGCTTTTAACTTTTGGCTTAAAATAAGTTTTTTTAACTTAAAATAAGCTATTTTGAGTATTGCCAAACAGTTAAATAAGTCAAAAACCAGCTTTTAAGTCAGTTTGACCAGCTTTTAAGCTGAGCCAAACAGGCTCTAACATTAGTTGAGTGTCATTAGAAAAAATATCGTAAAAGGCTTTATAGATACATACAAAAAGTATAAGTGATGAATTGTTTCTAATAGAACCACAACTACGAAATGTAACTGAAGCATAAAAGAAACGATGACAGAAATACGAGATCATAAAATAGCAGTGCACAAAACAAGTGTAACAGTAGATATTAATTCATAAAGAAACACAACTACGTGATACCTAAATCATACTACCAGAAGTATGACAGTGCTTAAGTACCTAGTAACCTTATACCATAGTCCTCGACCTCAATGAGGTTATCTCGATGACACTTGGCCTCTTGTTATTCGTGCTTCACGGAGCAAAGATGCCTCAATAAACCAATCAACAATATTCGAGTATTTCGAAGAGAATTTTCCACATATTTTTAGGACAACATGTTATCTGCTGATGGATTTTCATCAGCATGAAGCCTCTTCCTTGCCATTGCAGCTTGTTTTTCCCAATTTGTGCAGCATGTTATAACAGAGAGTAGTATAGTTTGTAGAGTTGCACCAGAAAGTATGCCGATCCACAGGCCTTTTCCTCAAAAGTTGAGCCAAAACGCTAATGAAGCAGCGATAGGAATTCCACAAAGGTAAAACGAAGCAAGATTGACATAGGCACCGATATGCTGCCAACCACATCCCCTCGCGACACCTACAATGTGCATAGTACCACAATTAATCATACGTTCGTTCTTGTCATGTATCTGTATGTACATGGCAGATTCAACAACATATATATATATGCACGTTAAGACGAAAAATCAACAATGTATATACATAGTACAATTTTCCAGCAAATGTAGCTCTGCCGCTGTTATTTGTTACTTGTAGCGTCTCACATTGGTTGAAGAATGGACTGAGGATCTGCTTACATGGATTTCGACAATCCTCCTTTTACAAACTAGCTTTCCAGATTGAGTCAGACCAAATGTCATATTTTTACCGTTACCTTTTTTGTACTAACATAGTGTGGAAAAAGTTTTCGGACCTTCCTAGGTAAATGTGGCTCTCCCACTGATATTTGTTACATTTTCTTGTAGTAAACCTGTATATGTTGTACAATTTTCCGACAAAGGGGACTCTGTTAAACCGCTAGGTAAATGTGGCTCCACCACCGGTATACGTTACCTTTTCTTGTAATGACTTGACGTGTAAAGAGTCTAACCTATATACGTTTTCTCTGGCAAAGGGGATTTAGTTGAATACCCTTTGGTAGACGTGACTCCGCCTTACAATTTTCTTGTAATAACTTGACATGGAAATAGTCTAACCTATATACGTAGTACAATTTTCCAACAAAGGGGATTCAGTTGAAAACAAGACTCACCACTCGTAGTAGTTACATTTTACTGTAGTAACTTGATGTAAAGAAAGGCTAACCTGAAAGGTTTCCTTGAAAGCTGTCGATAATGACTGATAAACATAGAAGAGGAGCAATGTTTGCGACATAGTTCACCACTTCCTTCTCGTTGCTGAAAATGTAGCCGAATACATTTCGACAAGCAAATACAGTTGTGCTTACTAGTATTGACGTTGCCGCTGCAATGAGCATTACAGAAATCGCAGATGCGCGAGCTCCTTGAGGATTTCCAGCTCCTAATTGATTAGAAACTCGAGTGCTGAAAGTAAACAGGAGTTCAGTAACCACATATTTGAGATAAAACCACGTGGAGAGGGAATGTTCGATTAGATATTTAAAAATACCTTACAGCGCCAGAGAGACCAAACGGAATTGCATAAAGGGTATAAGTAGTATTCAGGCTGCACCATGGAATATATCACAAGAAACTAGCAATTTTAGGACAATGCAAATCATATTACTGATTGAATCAATCATTTTACAAGTGAGATCTATCTTTGCTTGGACTCTTTAAAAATGTTGTCCATTACGTGTCAAATACTTCGAAAGTAGTGTATTTTTGGAGGATCCGACATGGGTGCGGCAACATTTTTGGAGAGTCTTAGAAACATAGAACAAGATTTAGAACATACCATATAGATAGTACAGAAGTTTCAAGTTGGGGATTCGGCAATAGTCCAGATAGTAAGATGAGCAGCTCAAATGACCACCATTCAAGACTACAAATACAAAACGTAGCATGAGTTACGTAGAATGACATGTGAAGGTTTAAGTGTATGTAAATTACTAAAATAGGCTGAGCGAGGCTGTTGAAGTACCAAATCATGACAGCAGAAGGGATAGCAAACTGAAAGAACTCTCATTCCGTTGACGATTTCCCATGACACTGGTGCACGGGTTTTTGCACAAGCAGGAGACAACCTCATGTATGAAGCAAGAATTATGACATTCAACCATAACGATATACCAACAGCCACTGCTGCGCCAATATTACCTAAGCCAGAGCTAAACACTAGCATCCAAGACAGCGGTATGTGGAAGCATATCGTAAGGCAAGAGCTTATGAGCATTGGAACAATCATACTTTGCATTTGAAAGAACCGAACAAGTGACTGAAGATTCGCGTAAGCAAAGAGAGCAGGAATCATCCACTTAATGAACTTGCCGGCTTCATGAGAAATCTGAGGATCTTGCCCCATAAAAGTTAGCAATTTCCCCACATATAACCATAAAACTGCTATAGGAATGCAAACAATGACGAGAGAGAAAATGGCTGTGTATGTTTGAGTACCAAGTCTTCGATACTGCCTAGCTCCAAAAGCCTGTCCGCAAAGAGTTTCTAGTGCAGTGGCCATTCCCAACTACACGACACTTTCAGATATTAGTCAGTGGAAAGGCGCAAAAAAAAATGGTAAAATGCAATACTTGTTAACTGTACTAAACAGTTCATTCATTTAGAATCAACGTTTTGTTAATCATACAAAAGTTATAACTTATAACTACGCCCTCTAAGTTGAAACTAGAAAATGAAAAGAAAAAAAAAGTTCTGCTCTTTAACTCTAGTTAGAACACATTCTTATTCTTCTATCTGTTTCCCCTGCATTTACACGTTATGTTCCTCGGTTCTTCATAAATACTGTCAAGTGTGTGTCGGATCCTCCACAAGCTATGTATTT